CGGTTGTCTCTCCGCCCAATGCGGGCGCGGGGGCGCCGACCCGCGCGTTTTGAGCGTGGCCGCACGCAGAGATTTTCATCGCCCCTAAATCGTGCAGCGGTTTGGGGGGCAGGAAAATCTCCAGGAGGACTCGAGTGGTCTCCTCGCTTCCTGGCCTCGGTGGCCTCAGGGGAATCGCGCTGGTTCACTGCCTGGCAGTGCCCCCCGTGGCGCGGCGGATCGTTGTGCTTACAGCCGGTGGCCGCGTGCGGCTGGTGGGTTTGGGCGTGGGGATGCTACGCCACTTGCCCTTCTCCTCCCTCTGGCCGCGAGTGCGCGAGGATAACCGCGCCTTTGGCTGGCGGTGGCAGTGGTGCCCCTGTGCGGGTGCGGGCGCGCCTGGCCGTGCTCTTGGGCGCTCGGGTTGCGTCTCGTGCTCCTCGTCGCCGCTGCCCTTTCTCGTCGCCTTCCTGGCTCCGTCCGTGCATTCTGGAGCTTAGGGCGTTGCTGGTGCTCCTCGTCGCCACGGCTCCTCGTCGCCACGGGCCTCCTCATCGCCACGGTTCCTCGTCGCCACGGGCCTCCTCGTCGCCACCGCCTCCCGGGGCCACTGCCGCTCCTGAGTTCTCGTTGCCACTCGGCCGCGTGCGCGGCGCAGGCTGCTTTGCAACCCACCCGCTGCCACCCTGTTGCTTTTCTGGGCGCTGGTGCGGGTGCGGCGTCCCTGCCAGGCTTGGAAAAGTCCAGTCGGGCCCTGCCTGGCGGCGCCGGGGGCGCCGACCCGCGCGTTTTGAGCGCGGCCGCGCGCAGAGATTTTCGTCGCAGCTGCAGCCGCGGCTCCAGCACGGATGGGGAACCCACAGTTTTTCAAGAATGCGCCAACGCACGCCGCACTTTGATCGGCGAGTCTCGCGCGCAACCGTTTCACTTTGAATGTCCTGCTGCTTCTGGCGCTGCCAGGGTCCGGGATTGTGTAGATACCTTCCTGCGGGACCCTGCCATTTCGAGCATGGGTCCGCTGGATCATTTAGAGTGGGCGCTGGCCTTGCCTTCGTGCGACGGTTTGCCCGAGGTCCCAGTTCCAGTAGCTCGTTCTCTCACTCGCGTCCTCGCTTTGGAAGCCCCCGCGTTGGCGCAGCTGCGGGCTGACAGTCTCGAGCATTGGCGCGAGCGCAAGCGTGTGCTGGACCCGCTCTGGGCGCGCCAGTTCGGCTGCTTGCCGGCGCACGTCCAGAGCGTTCTTGGTCCGAAGAAGAATTTGCTTGTGCTGAGCGAAATGCTTGAGGCCATCGAGTGGCCAGACGCCCGACTGGTAGTCGATCTGCAGAATGGCTTCCCCCTTTTAGGGGGAATACCTCGCAGCAACGTGTTGCCTCGCATCCCGTTTAAGGAGTGCACGGCATCTGCGGCAAGCCTCCGCGCGCGATCGCAGGCGCTCAGCGCAGACACCTTCCGCCGAGTCCGGCGGCCGGCTGCGCTGGACGAGTCCGTCCGGCAAGTGTTCGAGGCAAAGTGCGCCAAGGAGGTCAGTGACGGCCATGCAAGGTGGCGCTCCTTGCCTGGCAAGTGCGTTGTCACGGCTCGCTTTCCTGCAGACGAAGGGTGGGGTGCCCATTCGCGCAAGGTCCGCTGCATTGACGATTTTTCGGCGTCTCATATAAATGCAGCGGTTTCGGTAGGCGAAATTGTGCAGCACGATACTTTGGATAGTTTCGTGGCGGTGCTGCGCGAGATCAGCTTGGCAGGTGCTGGCGGAGCCGCCCTGCGCAAGGAAGATTTTGTGAGCGCATTCAAAACTTTGCCGCTGGCCAGTTCCCACCTGCACTTTGCCGTGGTAACTTGGGATGCTGCCGAGGCGCGCGGGCAGGGCCTACAGCTGCTCGCGTGTCCTTTTGGCGCAGCGGCGTCTGTTTATGATTGGGGACGATTTGGCGCTGCAATCCGGTCGATCCTCGCAGAGTTGTTTTTGGTGGTTTTTCTGAGATTCGTTGACGACCTTTTTGGCGCGGATCTGCGTCTCCCAAACGCTCCCTCCCTGGCATCGCCGGCAGGTGCCAGCGACGTTGCGCAAGAGGTCGTGGAGGAACTACTCGGTTGGAAGCTTGACGCTTCCAAGCGAGTGCGCGAATCCCAGTCTGCAGTAGTGCTAGGAGTCGAGGTCGAGATGGACCAGACTAAGCAGGCAGTGCACCTGGAAGTCGGCCCTCAGAAGCTGGCGCGGTGGAAAGGTCAAATTCGTAGCATTCTGCAGCGTGGAGCGCTGCATCCGTCTGAGGCCAAGAAATTGGCGGGGCGTCTATCCTGGGGTGCCTCTGCTGTGTTCGGCCGGGCGGCGCGGGTGCATCTCGCGCCGCTCTTCAGGCAGGCGTCCGAACCATCCTCTGCGCTGTCAGGGCGCGTCATCCGTGCACTTCGTTGGTGGCTCCGTTTTCTCGAGTGCGTACCGCGGCGATGTGTGCTGTGTGCAAAGCCAGAAGGGCGCGTCAAGTGCACTGTGTACTCAGACGCGACTGGGGACGGGAATTTGGCATGGGCCATTTCCCTGCCTGGACGGCGGCTCTGGTCTGCATCTGTAGTTTCTGTTGCTCTTCGGCGCTGGGTTTGCTATCGGAAAAACCAGGTGGCAACCTGGGAATTGGTGGCAGCTCTGTGCGCCCTGCACTGGCTCCTGGGCCAGGGCCTCGGCGATTTGGAAATTTTATTTTTCGTCGATAATACATCTGCTCTCGGCACTTTGCTGAGAGGTTCGTCGCGGCAAGCCGACTGGAACGATTTGATAAGCGACTTGTGGCTGCGCGTTGCTCGTGCAGGCGTGTTGTTGCATATATTCTATGTGCCCAGTCATTTGAACGTTGCGGACGCACCGACGCGGCCACAGAGCAAGGGCCCAGCTTTGCAGCACATGGTCAACGCAGGTTTTTCGCAAGTTCCATGGGCGGATCCCCCCGATGCCCCATGGTCTTCGTGATGTAATCCCTGATTTGCGAGCTGGACCGCCCGCGCAAAATAGAAGAACCACTGATGTGTCGGATATTCCATTTCGTGCTCTCTGCGCTCGTTGGGCGCTCACGGTCCAGTATTGGCATTGTGTTTCAGGATGCGCCACCCAGGCTTATTGATCGGTCTGATTGCCACGCCCAGTGGTGTTGAGCGTGTCGTGCGCGGCGGCAGGCCAGAAGGGACGCGCGCCCGAGCGCTCCGTAGCCTTTTCGGCGCAAGGTGGATGCTCAAGTTTCTCGAAGCAAGCCGCGCCCAAGCGTCGTCGGATGCGGCTCAGCCTGCGGTGCCTTCGGCCTCGTCTACTGGAGGGGCCGCAGCAGCAGCTCCCGTTCTCCCAGGTGTGTTAGTGAAACTTGTCAGGCAAATTGCTCCAGCCTTGCCGCCAGGGCTGCCGACAGATGTATTGTGCTCCCGCTTGGCCGCCGCGGGGGCTACAACGCCCCAAGATTTCTGCGACTTGACTGTTGGCGATGCTCAGCTGGTTTGGCAGCCACTGGCCAGTTGCACACATGAGTTTGTCAATCGATTCCTCGAGCTGTGCCAGGTGGAACGGAGCACTGGCCGCTGCGCGGCACAGGTTGGGAGTTCAGTTGCAGCAGCTTTCGCTGTCGCAGCCCCTGCCCAGGATCTTGGCACTGAGAGTGGCATTGACGAGGCTTGCCTCCGAAGGGGCATGGCTGCCCTGCGCCTTCTGGCAGATGCGCGCCGGGAGCAGCAATGCATCGAACCGGTTACGCTGGCTGCAGCAGTTCGTGATATGGCCAAGCTACCTGATCATCCTTTTGGCGATGAGCCTGTCCTTCCACGGGCGGCGGCGAAAAGAGCTCGAACAGCAGAGCCTGGCGCAACCAATTTCGAAATGAGGGCGGTGTGGCTTGAGTTTTGCAACTGGCGCCGCAGCGCTGCACAGTATGCCAGCGCAATTCAGCTCTGGGGTGAGGCAGCGGCCGTGAGCCGCGAGTCTCCTTGGCCCCCGAAGCATCCCACACTCTGCGCATTTTGCGCTTTATTTCGGAGCAGCGCTTCCCTCGGCCGTTATTTGTCGCACTTGCGGTCCGTGCTCCATCTGCTGCGGGCTCCTGCCGCGGAGTTGGCAGAGACTTCGCGCCTGGTACGAGGGGCGGAGAAAGCAGGTGCTGCGTTTCAGCGGCCGAAGGTTTGGGCGTCGACTTCCCAGACGCGCGAGTTGATCCGCTGGGCTTCAAGTGTAGAACGTAGGGATCTGGCCTTGTCATGGGCTGTTTCCCGGCACTTTTGCTTGCGGTTCTCGGAAACGTTGGCGCTTGGATCGGACGTGGCGCCGTTCCGGTTCTCGGGGCGCGGACCGGATTGCGAAGCAATTATCACTTTCCACCGGAGGAAGTGTTACAAGGCAGCAGTTGATGTAACGCGTAAATGCGCGTGCACGGGCCAGCGGCACATACTGTGCGGAGTGTGCGCTCTGCAAGAAGCAGTGGGGGCAAGTTCTGGCCGCCCATTCGCGCACATGTCGTATGCCGAAGCTCTGGCATTCCTTAAAGCTGGTGCAGCGGTTCTGGAGCTCCCGAGTGCACCATATTGGGGCACCCATGCCTTTCGCAGGGGGTTTGCCAACGACGCGCTGCGAGCTGGTGGGCCCTCTGCGTTATTCTGGTCTGGCGGCTGGAGGGGGCTTGCCGCTTTCGGGTACGCTACTGCGCAGACCCGGGGAGCATTGGCAGCCGCGGAGTGGCTGGCAGCCTTCTCGGATTCGAGCGGCGCAGAGGAAGACTAGCAAAAAGGAATAACGTATGCATGCTTTGGGTTGCTCATTTCAATTGTGCATAACGTATTCCCTGTCGCCTGCTCGGCGCGCTGCCGCCAGCCTGGCCGCTCCTGGATGCAGTGGGCCCTTGGAGTTTCCAGTCGGGGCCCGTCTGGCGGCGCCTTGCTCCCCATTTGCCCAACGGTGGCGCGGGAGCGTCGACCCAGCATAGCGTGCCTGCAGAGATTTTCATAGCCCCCAAATCGCGCAGCGATTTGGGGGGCAGGAAAATCTTCAGGGCAACGCGGCTCTTGCCTCCTTTCCTCTTGGCTTCTTGGCCTTTCCTGTCCTTGGCTCACTGCCTGGCAGTGCCTCCGCGGCGCGGCGGATCCTCGCATCTCACGGCCGGTGGCCTCGCAGAGGCTGGCGTACTTCGCAGTGCCTCCGCGGCGCGGCGGATCCTCGCATCTCACAGCCGGTGGCCTCGCAGAGGCTGGCGTACTTCGCGTGGGGCTGCCACGTTGTCCTCCCGTCCTCTTCCTTTGTTGGTTGGTTGATTGGCACGCTGCCCCGGCCGTGCTCGGCGCTGGAGTGCGGTAGCGAGTTGTGGGGCGCTGTCCTTCCCAGCAGGTGCCAAAAAACGAGGTTGCCGCCTTCGCCCGTGCCCTGCGGAACGGGGCGATAGTCGTGCAGTTTCCCACCCTCGTCCACCCTTCTTGGGTCGCCGTTCTGGGTCGGCGCTTCTGCCAGTGGGGCCCTTGGAGTTTCCAGTCGGGGCCCGTCTGGCGGCGCCTTGCTCCCCATTTGCCAAACGGTGGCGCGGGAGCGTCGACCCAGCATAGCGTGCCTGCAGAGATTTTCCTCAGGCGGGTGGCGCGGGCTGTCTGCCTTCGCTTACGCCTCTGCGAGGGCTCGCGGCGGAATAGCTGCTGCGGAGTTCCTCATCGAGCACTCAGAGTCATCGGACGCTGCCGAGTAAAATGCTCCTGCTTGCAGGTGGGGGAGCGAGAATCATCAGTTGCATTTCGCTTCGCGCAGCTGTCCGGTCCACCTGGGTGCAGAGGGGTGCCGCGGAGGTCTCCCAGAGTTGCCCCTGCCAGCTGCACGATAGCTGGTTGCCCACAGAACGCGTGGATACGCAATGGCACGGAGAGCGACGACAAATTTTAGTCGCCCCTAAATCGCGTAGCGATTTGGGGGGCAGTGAAATTTGAGGAGCGTTTGTGCTCTACGCCTCCTGGCCTCTTTGCCTCAGTGCCTCATGGCCTCGCCCTCACCAACGGGGGGCGCTCCCTGGTGGGAGCAGTGGAGTCGTGTGTTGGGTGAAGGGGAGTTTCTCTTTCCGCGCGCCTTGCCCTTCTCGGGGGCGGTGGTCCGTCGGTCTGTCTGTGGTCTGTCTCCGTCCGTCGGTCTGTCTGTCTGTCTGTCTGTCTGTCTGTCTGTCTGCCCGGAAGGGCAAAAGTGTGATACGCCCGAGGCGTGCCAGGCCCGGAAGGGCACTCGTGCGTCTCCCGCGAGCGTCGCTGGCCTCGCTCAGCGGTGTCTGGTTCTGCCCGGAAGGGCAGAAGTGTGATGCGCCCGAGGCGTGCCAGGCCCGGAAGGGCACTCGTGCGTCTCCCGCGAGCGTCGCTGGCCTCGCTCGGCGGTTTGGCGCTCGCAGGGTGTTCGCTATGCGGCAGGATTTTGTCCCGCCCGCCCTCCCCGTGCCCTTGCGTTTCGCTGGCTGGGGTGCCGCGGAGGTCTCCCAGAGTTGCCCCTGCCAGCTGCACGATAGCTGGTTGCCCACAGAACGTGTGGATACGCAATGGCACGGAGAGCGACGACAAATTTTACATAGCCCGCAAAAACCGCGCAGCGGTTTGCGGGGCAGGAAAATCTCAGGGCAGGCCCTTGTGGGCTTCTTGGCTTTCGCCCCTCTCCGCCTCTCCGCTATGGCAGGGGAATCCTTATGGCCTGGTTGCTGCTGGACGGCAGGCGGTCTTTTTCCTCCAACCTCGCTGCTCGGTTGCTCGGCTGAGTTGGTGGTTGATTGGCTTCCTACCCGCCGGTGCCTTGGCACTCTGGACGGTGGCGGTGCTGTCGCCCCTTCCTTCGCTGATTGGCAAGGTTAGTTGATTCTGGCCGCCATCTGTGCAGCGGCGCCGCCAAGGGGCAAACCGCGGCCACCGCTGGCTGCTCTGCTGCGCAGGGCTCGAAGGCGAGGTGCCGGCACCATTTCGTAACCCACCCACTGCCACCCTTGTCTGGTGCTCTTTCGCGGCGGTGTTCCTGTCAGGCTGGCCCCTTGGGGAATTCCAGTGTGGGCCAGCCTGGCGGCGCCAACTTTCCGTTCGCCCATAGACGGCGCGGGAATGCCGCCGAATGTCTGCCAGCACGGCCGGACCGAAGAGATTTTCAATTGGACGCGGAATGCGTCGGTTAGCGCGTTTGCTCCGAGACGGCGAAACGCGGCGGGGCGTGCAGCTTGAGCGCAGATGCGACAAAGTACATGCTGGCGCCAGGACGGGCGAGACGCGCCCGCATCTGTAATTTTCAGCGCAGGATGTGCCAGACTTCGCGTGCACCCCGGCGCGGCGCGCCCAACCCAGGTTTGGAATATTTGCGCGGAATGCGCCGGTCTGCGCGTTTGCCCGGGGATCGCGCATCGCGCAGGACGCGCAATCTGAGCGCACATGCGCCAATTACGCGTGCGTGCTGGGTTGCACGCAACTGCGCTGGAATCAGCCAATTGCGCCTAGCACGGCGGTGCGTTTTCGCCACAGCGGCAGCGCTAGATTCGCAATCTGGGCGCGAAGCGCATGGTTGTGGCAGAGCGCGTGCAATCTGGGCGCGAAATTGCAAGCCGAAGAGGCGAAGAGCGCGGAATGCGCCAGATTGCAGAGGTGCTGGAACCAGTGCAAGCGCGCCGAGCTGCGGAATCTGGGCGTCGAACACTTGAGTTCGCAGGTAGACGCGATTGCGCGGCCGGATTGCCCATTGGAGCGCAGGATGCACAGCACTGGGCGAAAGCGCGCCCGATTGGCATCGAGGCGCGTATTGCGCTGCAAGCACAGCGGCGCGGAGACGCGCACATCGGTTCAGGCGAACAGGCGATCGCCTGAGCAGCGCGTCGAGCGCGAACGCGCCCACAAGCAGGCCGCAGACAGTCAACGCAGTTGCGATTGCGTCTGGTCTGTGCAATGGGGCCGCTTCCTTTCAGACACTCCCGCAATGCAGCTGTCCGGACCACCTGTGTGCATTGGGCGTCTGGGTATATCCCAGGATGGCCCCTGCCAGCTGCACGGAAGCTGGCTGCCCATTGTGCGTGCGGAAGCGCAACGCCAGGGAGGGGCGACGCTGAATTTTAGTCGCCCCTAAATTGCGCAGCGATTTGGGGGGCAATGAAATTCGAGGAGCACACGGACCCCATGCCTCTTGGCATCATGGCCTCTGTTCCTCTCAGCAGCAAGCTCGCGGCAGCGAGCGCTCCCTACTGGGAGTTCCCGAGCTTGGCTCCTCGGGATGTCCTGTGGCCCCAACGTTTGTTGTTTTTCCCACGCTTCGCTGTGGGGAGCGTCGGTCTGTCAGTCAGTCCTGTCTGTCCGTCTGTCTGTCCGTCCGTCCGTCTGTTTGTCTGTCTGTCCGTCTGTTGTCTGTCTGTCCGCTCGGCGCTCGGGGCTGCGAGGTCCGTCTGGCAGCTCTCCTCGGTGGCGATCACCAGAGACAAGTTCGGGGCTCAGAGAGAGGGGCGACCTGGGTAGGTGCGCTCGTCCAGTGGTCGCCCTGAGGATTCTTGTTGGCGGCGTGCATTCTCGTTGCTTGGGTGCGGTTTTTCCCGCCCACCCCCCTGTGCGTAACGTTTCGCTGGCTGGGGCGTCTGGGTATATCCCAGGATGGCCCCTGCCAGCTGCACGGAAGCTGGCTGCCCATTGTGCGTGCGGAAGCGCAACGCCAGGGAGGGACGACGCTGAATTTTAAGTGTGGGCCAGCCTGGCGGCGCCAACTTTCCGTTCGCCCATAGACGGCGCGGGAATGCCGCCGAATGTCTGCCAGTACGGCCGGACCGAAGAGATTTTCAATTGGACGCGGAATGCGTCGGTTAGCGCGTTTGCTCCGAGACGGCGAAACGCGGCGGGGCGTGCAGCTTGAGCGCAGATGCGACAAAGTACATGCTGGCGCCAGGACGGGCGAGACGCGCCCGCATCTGTAATTTTCAGCGCATGATGTGCCAGACTTCGCGTGCACCCCGGCGCGGCGCGCCCAACCCAGGTTTGGAATATTTGCGCGGAATGCGCCGGTCTGCGCGTTTGCCCGGGGATCGCGCATCGTGCAGGACGCGCAATCTGAGCGCACATGCGCCAATTACGCGTGCGTGCTGGGGTGCACGCAACTGCGCTGGAATCAGCCAATTGCGCCTAGCACGGCGGTGCGTTTTCGCCACAGCGGCAGCGCTAGATTCGCAATCTGGGCGCGAAGCGCATGGTTGTGGCAGAACGCATGCAATCTGGGCGCGAAATTGCAAGCCGAAGAGGCGAAGAGCGCGGAATGCGCCAGATTGCAGAGGTGCTGGAACCAGTGCAAGCGCGCCGAGCTGCGGAATCTGGGCGTCGAACACTTGAGTTCGCAGGTAGACGCGATTGCGCGGCCGGATTGCCCATTGGAGCGCAGGATGCACAGCACTGGGCGAAAGCGCGCCCGATCGGCATCGAGGCGCGTATTGCGCTGCAAGCGCAGCGGCGCGGAGACGCGCACATCGGTTCAGGCGAACAGGCGATCGCCTGAGCAGCGCGTCGAGCGCGAACGCGCCCACAAGCAGGCCGCAGACAGTCAACGCAGTTGCGATTGCGTCTGGTCTGTGCAATGGGGCCGCTTCCTTTCAGACACTCCCGCAATGCAGCTGTCCGGACCACCTGTGTGCATTGGGCGTTTGGGTATATCCCAGGATGGCCCCTGCCAGCTGCACGGAAGCTGGCTGCCCATTGTGCGTGCGGAAGCGCAACGCCAGGGAGGGACGACGCTGAATTTTAGTCGCCCCTAAATTGCGCAGCGATTTGGGGGGCAATGAAATTCGAGGAGCACACGGACCCCATGCCTCTTGGCATCATGGCCTCTGTTCCTCTCAGCAGCAAGCTCGCGGCAGCGAGCGCTCCCTACTGGGAGTTCCCGAGCTTGGCTCCTCGGGATGTCCTGTGGCCCCAACGTTTGTTGTTTTTCCCACGCTTCGCTGTGGGGAGCGTCGGTGTGTCAGTCAGTCCTGTCTGTCCGTCTGTCTGTCCGTCCGTCCGTCTGTTTGTCTGTCTGTCCGTCTGTTGTCTGTCTGTCCGCTCGGCGCTCGGGGCTGCGAGGTCCGTCTGGCAGCTCTCCTCGGTGGCGATCACCAGAGACAGGTTCGGGGCTCGGAGAGAGGGGCGACCTGGGTAGGTGCGCTCGTCCAGTGGTCGCCCTGAGGATTCTTGTTGGCGGCGTGCATTCTCGTTGCTTGGGTGCGGTTTTTCCCGCCCACCCCCCTGTGCGTAACGTTTCGCTGGCTGGGGCGTCTGGGTATATCCCAGGATGGCCCCTGCCAGCTGCACGGAAGCTGGCTGCCCATTGTGCGTGCGGAAGCGCAACGCCAGGGAGGGGCGACGCTGAATTTTAAGACAAGTACGGTCCCAAAGAAGCGCTGCTGCGGAATAGGCTTGCAAATACCGACAGAGATGAATGACCCGCTGGCCAGGGGGGCTCTCTCGCAAGCGCAGCAGCTTCACCCCGCAACTGAACCGCACTCGCGTACTGCGGAGCATTTTTTCTCCACCCACAAAATTCAACCCACGTTGCCTGCTTTCGAAAATCAAAAAGTGCTGCCTGGTCTGTCCGCGCTCTCTTCAAAGCCGCTCGCGGAGGAATATCGGACTGCCCAAACGGACTTTCCGGCAACCGGCTCATGTCGCGGATGGCTTGCGCCAGCACGGCCGGGGGCAACAGTTCTGACCGACCCCTGGCCTCCGCCACCAGCGCCA